ATAAACGGAAGATTTCCCACAAATATAGACCGCGAACTGTCGTGAGACACATCTTTCACAGCTTTGTCCACTCGGATGTGATGTCCGTCTATTTCAGTGCCATTCCTATCAATTCAATCAATGGTCAAAAGTGTCAACAATTCATTACTAATAGACTTACAATTTAATGGCTTTCAACATATCGTCCGTTGATTTGTAGACAACATATGCGTTAATGTTATCCTTTGATGAGTTGAAACTTTTACTAAGAATATGAATAATCATTGAATCAATTGGTAAATCAATTTATATCAAGACATACGTAATGACCGCAACTTTTTTGGACATTTTCTGTTCTTCAGGAACCGCTCCTCGAAGACGAATGCTCTGTATTTCGCCACAACTTTTGAACAATTTCTTCAAATACTTTGAATACAAGAAATACATTGAAACATATGAACCAAATGAGTGACTAATTAATCAACACTTACTTTAATTGTGATATTTTGGGGCAAATTTCCCACAAATACTGTCCTCTCGTTCTTCTCTTCATTTCTTTCATCCCTTTCTCTCAAAACCTTTTGTTTCTTTGTTTCTCCGCTTTTAGTCTCAAATTCGTCCTCAGATTCGACCGATTCTTCATCTTTTGCCTCAATTTTGTTGATTTCAATCAATTTATTGTTATTTTCTTCAATTATTTCATTGAATTTTTTCATTGACTTCTTTTTCTTCTTATCCTTCGATGCCTTAAGAGTCTTATCTTCACTCTTATTGGCGTTTATAATGTTAGCAATTGATCCGCATTTGAATACTTGAGCCATTGTTTGAGACAATTATAAGCAATCAATTAAACAGATTTCAATCAATGCTTCAAATAAATGATTTAAAAGTCACCACTATTTTCATAAACAGTAAAACACGTGCTTTTGATATGTTTTGACCAAAAGTCAAATAAAGTCTCATTAGAGGGCAATCGAGGTTTGCTTTAACTGTAAAAATGCACAAAACTTACAAACTATAGAAACTTTGAATTTTAAATCATTATTTTCAATTACTGTATACTAATTGTTGGAAATTATGATAATATTACATAATTGTCAAAAACGCCAACACATTGTCCTCTAATTTCCAGTTATGTATAAAATTTTTTAAAAGTGTTAAAAATTGAAATTAAGGTAAAAATATAATAATGAAAGTTAAGGAAAGGCATAATTGGGACACTTGTGTGAAATGGGGTTTTAATGTTCAAACAACAAGTAAATCAATGTATTGTAGTCCTAATTGTCATATATTTTCATTAATTTAAGTTTTAATGACTAAAAAATATTTGCATTTGAGATGAAATTATGTTTAAATTGCATCCAATTGTTGTTTAAAGAGTTTGGGAAAGTTTTAAGCACTTAATTCTCTTATCACAACAATTCGCTGACTTTTACTGCAAAACTTGATTGCAATTTAAATCAGCGAATGATTTAATTTTATACAAAAGCGATAATAAGTAACATTTAAAGTGATATTTATTGACCCAAAAGTTAATCAAACGTTAGATTAACAGACAATTGATGTTATTTTATCGTCACATAAGTTGTGAGCGATTTTGTATGCAATGAATGCTTTGAGGGCTGAGTTTGAAAGCCATAAATGAAAACAAACGAGTGATTAATTCAATTGATTCACTCATTCACTCGTGTTTTGC